ACAACTAAAAGGAGGAAGAGTCCATTTGGACTCATAATTTGAGGGGGTTGGGGGCCATCATCAAAGCATGATGGAGCAGCTCAATTCATGATAGCAGGAGAGCAGGATGGCGCCTGTTCACATCACAGCAGACCAGGAAGAGAGGCAGGAGCCCGAGGTTGAGGATAATCTTCAGAGGCTCACAGGCCTGCAGGTCTCACATCCCCTCAAACAGCATTAGCAGATAAAAAAACAAGTGTTCAAAAGATGAGATGTAAACCAAAATACTTGGTATCCACTGAACTACTATAATATGCCAACATCTTTCACATGACAAATATTTTCTTTTCAAGGCTGAGGATCAAATCCAGGGCCCGAACATGCTAGGCAAGCACTCGACACACTGAACTACATCCTCACCCCACACAATCTTATTCTCAAGAAAGGAAGAATCAGCTCCACTTAGCAGAGTTTCAGAACTGGAATCAAAGAAGTGATTTGTCCAAGGTCAAATAACGCAGTAGTTCTGAAGTTTGAAGCCAGGTTTTCTGGCTTGGGCTGCAATGATGGTAACATTATTCCACAGATCCCTTTACCAGACAGCATGCCAAAGGAATCTCCAAGTGCCATTCAGCTGTTACTCTCAACCCCAGGCATTCAGCGCAGAATATGAGGGTCACCATGTGCAACCCACCAGCCCATAAAGGGCAGCCTACATGGGACTCTGAGAAATTTTAAAGGGCAGGAGAAGGAAAGATTTCTCCAAATTGTTTGATCTACATGAATGCATAGGCCATGGGGTATGACCATCTGTCCACCACTACCCTTGTATAACTGACCACTGACTGCCAGGTGTCATGCCAGCCGGCGTGGATTAGGTAGTGTAGAACCAAGTTCAATGTATTTAATTATTCAAATTGGAGCCTTTAATGTTCAATAATACTAACAGCATACTATAAACTTGGGACACTGAAAAAATGAATGACCAGAGAGGAAGTAAGAATAAGGTCGTTAGTGAACCTGATTCATGCTTGACTCACGTGTAATACTCATTTGCCCAGCAGACTCTGTCAACCGGCTATTGATATCCTTGAAAAATTCATGCACCTGGACACATATGGATTTGTGATCACGTGATCCACCACAGAGAAACCTCACACAGCCCTCTCTGTGAATACTGCCCTTTGCTGGTTCCAATCAGACCAATACATTCCAAATCTGCTGGCTAGAGACAGGGGGTACATCGCAGTTACCATGGCAGCCCCCAATGTCCCCCTTGAGAAGGGCTTCCATTTGCCCATACCCTCTGCTACAGGACCACAGCACATATATCACTCTAGCTTCCCGAGGGGGCTCCCAGACTGTCTGTGCTATTGATTGTTTTAGCAATTTACCAGGTAGGGAATTAGAGTTATGGGTTGGTAATTTCCTGTCTATGTCTTCCTTCAATTGCTGTGTCGCTTGAATGCCCTGATGGTGATACAAGAGCTGGGTATTTATCTGCAAGATTTGTCAAAACTCGCTAATTGTCAATATGCCTCTAGTTGATGTTACATACAAGATCAGTTGCCAAAAAAGCTCGTTCTGAGAATAAAGAAAAGATTCTCCTAGATGGTGACAAAGCCGGGGAAAGGTAGCTTGGCATTATATTCTCCAAAGAGGCAGTCGGAGCGGGGACTATGCCACAAGAGAGACTACATGCAGCGAGCATGCGCCTTGCTCAATTCCATCCCCACTGCGATGTGTCAGTTTAGCCCATAAAATCATCAGTCAACGTAGTCAACCAAAGAAAGGCCAAGAAACACAGAAAAAAAAATAGTCCTTGTGGTCATGTATTGTGTCTTCCAATATTGTGCACCCTAATAAAGTTTATCTGAGGATCAGAGGGAAAAGCCAGCCACTATAGTAAACACAGAAGTCAGGCAATGGTAGCACATGTCTTTAATCCTATCACTCAGGAGGCAGAGGTCCATCTGGATCTCTGTGAGTTCAAGGCTACATTGGGAACAGAGCCAGGGATGGTGGTCCATACCTTTAATCACAGCACTAACCATAGAGGTCTAGAGGTCTGTACAGACAGACAGGAAGTGACAGAGCTGGGCAAGACAGGAAGTGATGTAGTTGGGCAGAGAAATGAAATGAGATGGCAGAACAGAAAGGCATATAGGCATGGGTATACAGGAAGTAGGTCTCTTTGGAGACTGAGGGCTGGTAAGGTGAGGTTGGCTGTGGTTTTTCCTATTCCTCTGATCTCTCAGGTTTCACCCAATATCTGGCTCCATGTTTTTTTTTTTTATTAATAAGACCGTGTATCAGTTCATCTTACAGGTCCTCACAGGGAATGAATGCCAGCAAACACCTCCTCCTCCTCCTCCTCCTCATCTTCAGCTTCCTTCTCCTCTTCCACCTTTTGCTATTCTTTTTATTATTATTATTATTTGAGATTATTATTATTATTTGAGATTATTATTATTATTTGAGATTATTATTATTATTATTTGAGATAAGATCTTACTATGTAACCCTAGTTGGTCTGGGACTTACTAGATAGACCAGGCCGGCCTCAAACTCACAGAGATCTACCTGTCTCTGCCTCCCAAGTGCTGAGATTAAATGCGTGCCTTTTATCCTCTCCTCAATCTTGGATGAACTGAAATCTTTTGTTCCTGGGCTGGAATGACTTGCTCCACTCCAAACCCTACTCTCGACTCATGGATTAGTGAGACAAGCCACTAAGACCCATTTAATTTCGTCAATGTCCTCATGCCCCAAAGAAATATTAGCAAAGAGTCTAACCAAATTCACCTACGAAGTGGCTCCGTACTGTCTTGAGCCAAAGTTTCATGACATACCTTGTATTTCCCAACCTTTTTAGGTCCCTAAGAAACTCACATGGCTAACTGTGGTGCCTATTAGCATGCCAAAGTGTACACTGGCCTCTAGGCTTCCTTAGCACCTGTTACAGAGTCATCCTGGCTGGCATACACACACACACACACACACACACACACACACACACACACACACACACACCACCCTACCCTAAACTTCTCATTCTTATAACAAGCCTATGTTTCAGCTATGTGTTCTCTTGGTTCCTTTCTTGTTCCTGTACTCCTGACTCTTGGTTCTCTCTCTCTCTCTCTCTCTCTCTCTCTCTCTCTCTCTCTCTCTCTCTCTCTCTCTCTCTCTCTCTCTCCCCCCCCTCTCTCTTTTCTCAGTCCTTCACTCGTCTCTTGGTCCACTTGCCCTCTGCCTCTGGCTGTTCTCTCCCTCGTATCTACAATAAAAGCCTTCTCGTCAACCATACCTTGGGGCAGTCATGTCCTCAGTTTCATTCAAACCTTATTAGCATTATGGAAATATCAGTAGCACAGATACACAGAAACTCAATCAAGTGGGAAGTGTGCAAAGCTGTGGTTTACTCCTAAAAGAGTGGTTCTTTGGCTTCCCAAGTGTTTGGCAGGAACCTCCAGCTCACTCCTGCTTGATCCAGAAAGCCCCAGTTTTCTCTCTCCAAACCCGCCCTCTCAGAAAATCTCCAACAAAGAAAAGGCACCAAAAAGCCCAGTTCTGCATTCTTGGCAGCTGGGACAGCACCTCCCCTGAAGTTGCTGTGGCCCAAGTCCCCGCCTAAAGTGTACCATACTTGGGCACAAACCCAGCTTATGGAGGGCATGTCATTGTTATGCCCAGACTGCAGGGACCCCCAAAAGAGAACCACAGAGACCGAATCGTGTGTGTAAAAGCAAAGAGCTCTTTATTACTTTATTATTCAAGCTCCAGGGCTTGGTCTCTCTGTCTGTCCGACGCAGCAGTGAGAGCAGAGAGCCCAGAGCCTAGGCAGGGTGGGGTTTTTATCATAGCAGAGGTTGGGGTGAGGAGATTTCCAGGGTTCAGGACCCTGATTGGCTGACATTTGTCTAGGGGTATAGGGAAAGTTTGGAATGTCAGATATTTCCTCTTAGATGCAGGCCCCATTGAGTGGGGTCAGCTTATGACTCTTCCTGGGTCCAGGTGTTGCCTGCCAGAAGCTGTGTCTGGGCCTCTAAGCCTGTCATGGCAGCTGTGTGGCCATGCTGTTTTGAGGCCCCTCTACATCACACCCTTCACCTACAGGGTACATAAGTGCTCTGCCTTAGGTCAGCCAATGATTTTCTGCTGCCTCTTCTCCCACTTTGATCTCTGGGGACTGGAGAACTCACCCGGGAGTTGCTTTGCTCAAATAAACCTGTTCTTTTACTTTTTCAATTCGGCTGGATCTGGCTTACTGTGTCAGCAGAGAAACCCGCTATCGAGGTACAGAAAACCTATTACCAAGAGCTAAACACTGTCCTTTGGGAGGAAAGGCGGAGTCTAAAATTCACATAAAACTTACGGAGTTTGGTAGCAAGTTATGTCTTCTAGAATAGTGACAATGGCAGGTGGTGAAAACTAGTGACCAAGAGGTGGAAAAAGGTCCAGAGAGGGGAGGGCTGAAAGGACCGGGATCAGCACAGAGCACACCAAGACCAAGTTCTCAGTGCAAAGGAAATTTACTGCCCAAGAGGGACAGAGGGCGGGGATAAGGGACAAAGACAGAGACAGAGGACAAGGGAGAGGGGGAAGGGGTATTTGCCCCTGAGGGACCAAAGGATGCCTCTGGATGGAGAGGAGATAGACGTGCCCTAAGGCAAATGGCAGTTTATAAATGGAAAGGGGGAACACCCCCACCCCGAGTTAGGATGAGTTGGTTTGTTTTGATTGGGCACGTTAATTAGGTGAGTCAAAAGGGGGCATCTGGTTGCTGAACATCGGTACTTTGATAGCTGGACCACAGTAGTCAGCCTCAGGAGGAGGGAGTGGACTAACAGGGAACAGACCTTGGTGGCCAGCTTTAGGGATGGAATCTAATGGTTTTTAGCAAGGAAGAGGGAATGGGGGAAGGGCAAGGCCTGCCAGAGCCATGTTTGCCGTGCTGCAGTCTGTTAGCACCCTTCGATGACCAAAGACCAACCTGTGTTTTTTATAATATTGTCAAGGGCCAGATTTGATGTGGGCGTCATGGAGAGAGCCACCTTCAACAGTCAAGCTTTGTCACAACTCCTGAGTTTAGAAGTTTCAGTCCGTCCGGGATCTTGACTTCACTGCTTTTGTCCCCCACCCTCACCCCCACCCCGGAAAGGTTATCTCACCCTGGCAGCAGCGTATCATGTGACAAGAACCTGATGACCAGAAAGCAGTGCAGAAGACACAGGAAGAGGAGAGGCTAGTGTCACCAAACCCCCTCTAAGGACACACCTCCAATGACCCAAGACCCACCACTAGACCCTGACTCTTAAATGTACCACCGCCATCTCCCGATAGTACCAAGCTGGTGGGGACGAACTGTGGAGGACTGTCAAGACCTGAACCGTGAGGCCGCGTGGACTGAGACAGTGCCTGCTGTTTGTCAGGTGGAATTAAGTATCGCCTCCAATCACACTAAACGCCCTGCCCTGCCTTTGCACACAGTTTGATAGAAGTAGCAGCCTTCGAGGAACTGGTGTGGGCTAAGGAGAGGCACCGTACTCCCGGCAGACAGAGCCCTTCTCTCAACCCCTACAAAGCACCTGCTGCCCCCCTATACCCCCATACCCTGCCTGGGATACCCCAACTGTCCTGCCGCTTACCACTGTAGCCTCGGGCCCTCTGCCGTCCTCTGTGCCTGGCCGGGCCGCCTCTTAGGGCCTCCTGTAATTAACCAGGAGTATTTCAGACCCGTATTTTGATTCATCTCACAGATTGATTTTCTAAATTATGTGTCAGCATGAAGGTGTTTAAAAAAAAAAAACCACTTAACTCAGCAGCAATTAACTGCAAAGCTTTTAAAGCTTAGTTTTCATCTCACAGGTCTTTGAGAGCCAGAAATGATATCAGTAGCTGTGAAATCAAGTTGTGTTTAATCCCCGGCTAAAACGGCAACAAATGGCGTGAGTGATCTTATTACTAAGGCGACATTTGTTAAACTTTCCCTTTTCTGTTGCACTTCTAGCTGCCAACATTTCTTACACACACACACACACACACACACACACACACACACACACACACACACACGTGTTTACTACAAATGAAAATATATTGGGGTAAAATTTAGCTAGAATGGGCATTGCTCATAAGGAGTTATTGAAGAGAGTGGTCAAGATCTCTGAGCTCTTCTAGAATGTCAGCACATAGTTTTGGACAATGCTTAGGTATAGGGCAATTTAGCAGCTGTAGTGGAAGTTTTCCGGTGTCCCGCCCAGTCCTGCAGCTGCTCAGACCCAAGTAAACACACAGAGGCTTACATCAATTACGAATTGCATGGCCATGGCCTATGGCTCAATTTTATTGCTAGCTAGCTCTGTAACTAAACTCAGTCTATTTCTATTAATCTTTATGTCGCCACATGTTCTGTGACATTACCTGTGTGCCATTACATGCTGCTCCCTGGATGGTGGGATGGTGTCTCCTCCGCCTCTGCCTTTCTTCTTCCTTTCTCTCTCTTCAGTTTCCCGCCTAGCTATGACCTGACTTGCCATAGGCCAAATGGCTTTTTTTATCAACCAATCAGAGCAGCACATATTCACAGCAGACAGAAAGCTCTCCCACAGCAAGTAACATCTGCCAGGCATTTTCCAAGGAGGCTAGGCCTCTGAAAATATGGCCATCAGAAATGTGACTCTCAGACATTTGAAAACTTCTCTGTCTACTCAGAGAGGCCCAGTTAGCAAGAAGCCAATTATTTTCAGCAACACAAAGCATTTGATACCACTTTTGGGTCAGAGCCCGGGGGCGTGTTGTACCCCAGGATGAGGTGAGAGATCTACTAGTAAAAGTGCAAGTCAAGGATGACTGGGATGCCTGAGGCCGGAGGACTGTCCTCCATCGCCTCATCTCACAGGAATTTGGAGGCTGAGACCTGACAAAAAATGTCCCCTGCATGGTCTCCCACCTGCCAGGCACCAAGCAGGCTCACAGAGCTTTCTGCTCCCATGGCCTCTCTCAAGTTGTCTTTGTGCTAACCTTAATCTCATTTCTCATTCCTCTAACAGGTGAGGAGTCGGGGGAACAGTCACTCTTTATGATTGACCATCATTCTGAGGCTCCCTTGTCCCTTCGAGCTCACACTCCTAAACTCCCTTGGCCTCATATTTTGTTCTGTTAGATATACACCATTATAAATCAATGTGGTTTCCTTTTCGGCTCGACTAGCAGGAACCACAGAACCCACATGCTCTGCTTTAACGTGATAGAGCTCACAGCAGCTCACCTTTTCCACCATCTTTGTCTTACTTTGTCTCCTGTCTCGTGCTCATGACAGGGATCTTGACTATTACCTTTTAAACACTCCTTATGAGCCATTCCCATTCCAGCTAAATAATAACACAATATTAGTATTTGTTCTTCCATCGTTCCTTGCGTATAATTTTTACAGCAAGTCACGAGAGAGAGAGAGAGAGAGAGAGAGAGAGAGAGAGAGAGAGAGAGAGAGAGAAACAATATTTATAGAGAACAAAATCACCTTTAAATTATTGATTTTTTCCATTTTGGAATAGCCCAGCCTCTGAGACCTCCCTGTGTGGACGTCCTAATTGAGCAGTGTGGATCTGGGGGTGGCGCTCTTCAGTGAGGTGATTAGCATGGCACACCAAAGATCATAACACCTCCACACCAAAACCCCACTCCCTGAGAGTCAAGCTGCCTCTGCCTCCCGAGGAGAGCTCTCCATCTTAGCAATGATGATGGTGCTCGCTCCTCTCTGTTACCCTCTTGTTATGAGGATCAATGGGACAGCGTCTATGGACTGTTGGATCTCCTTGGGGGACAAGGCTCTGTAGCTGTAATTATCTTTATTGACAGCAACACAGAGCTGTGGCAGGCTTTTCCTGGTACAATTCCTCATCGTCCTGCTTGTCCCGGCTTCTCAGGGGCTACTGGAGCAGGTGATAGGTTCCACACACTGGCTTTGTCCTGCTGTCAGAGAACATGCTTAACCTCCGCACCAATAAAGGACCAAAGCTCTGTACAAAGGAGTGCTCACGTGTAGAAAGGGTCGAAGAAGGCTGGGAAGAACAAACCGTCACCATGGCCAGTAAAGAAACTCCTGATCTTGTGAGGGTCTCTCCCGAGCAGGCGCGGCTGCTCTGATCTTAAGACAGCCATGGCTGTGTCGTTCCCAGGGGACATCATTCTACGGCATCACAGCATAGGCCGTACAGGCCTCAGATCACTGGAGCTAGTCTGCGGGAAGATAATCCCTTCCCTGGGTGACAATGCTTGCCTGGGATTCTGTTCGTTATGCTGGCAAAAATAAATGATGTGTCCATCACCCTTTGAAGACTGTTTATCCTCAAAACTTATCTAACGGAGAGGCCCAGAATCCAGTCCATCACCTTTTACCCTGCCTCCAGTAGCGGCTACTCTCCTTTCTTATATGATGGCTGAGACTCATTTCATAGGCAAATCCCTCTTCTGGGAGGTTCTGAGGTTCCCCGACCTGAAGCATTGCCTTTGGCAACCCAAGGTCTTTTATGTCTGCGTTTTTTAAATATACTGCTATGTCGCTGTTTCCTCAGCATTAAAATATTTGGTTAAGGCTGGGAAGATAAACAAAAGAAGTCTCCGGAAGCTGCTGAAACGTAAAAGATTCACAAGGCCCCTCCCAAAGGTTACCTAAGCAGTAGCAACTGCTGAGGGTAAGAGACCCTTGTACTGGTTGAGCTGTCCCAAGCCTGTAGGAGCTCCAGGAATCATTGCCCAGGCTGGGGTGGGCTTTTCAGTGGTACAGCTGCCTTTGCTCATCTACACTCCTGTAACCCATCCCCCACACTGCTGTAAGTCACCCCAAAACGCTTACAGGTTGGCCAAGTGGAGTAGTTCCTCTGGTTTATCGTCAGGAGCCGATCTGGACATGCCCTATCTGGGGTAAAAACACTTTTGATCACATCTCCCCTGGGTCTCGACAAAACACAGACCCTCTGGAGTCCTTCTCCAGCCCCTTGGCTTAGATTATTTTCTCTCAAGTTTTTCCAGACATCAAAGAACATTAGAACAAGTCCTGAAAGCAGATGCCCATCACTCAATCCCAAAGAAAACACTTTTGTCTGCAGCTGTCAAAAGTCTGAGGACGACTCACGAGTGATGTTAGCAGTGTTGACGTAGCAGCAGTGAATGACCAGGAACTTCAAGAACCAAATGAGATGAGATGGTTTGTAAGTCAGGGTCAGGAGATACTGTAAAGCTAAAAACAAAGAGAGAAAGAAAGAAAGAAAGAAAGAAAGAAAGAAAGAAAGAAAGAAAGAAAAAGAAAGAAAGAAAGAAAGAAAGAAAGAAAGAGAAAGGAAGGAAAGAAGGAAGGAAGGAAGGAAGGAAGGAAGGAAGGAAGGAAGGAAGGAAGGAAGGAAGAAAAAATACACCCACACACACAGCTTCAAAACTCATCTGGCTACATAAGCAATGTATACGGTACTTAGCATTTTGCTTAGGGGAGCATCAATGAATGCCAGAAAAGGCGATTTCCGAATATCTGAAACTGGACAGTTTTTTGCGTTACCACTTGGGAAAGAGGAGGGGAACCGAGAGTGACGAATGCTCTTAGAGTCTCGCAGACTCATTTTTCCGGCTAAATTGCTGGTTTGAGACAGCTCATCGGCTTTGGGAGAACATGAGCTGCAGACTTGTCATTTTCCACTCTGCGCTAATACAAGCTGACTGATTATCCACGTCTGCCCGCCCCCATCAGCAGCCAGGCTCTGCTTCTCGGCTACGTGGTTAGAGCCAGAAAATGGACTTCTCGGGGGACTAATGAAGAACTGTCATCAGTGCTGTGTGACTGGGTAATGGAGGAAAGACTATTAGGAACAAGCGGCACCTCGTGCTATGAACCTCGCTAACCGAGAACGGCATCCGGTTGATTGAAGGCCCCTCAAGCCCATTGGGCTTAATAAGCTGTCGCTCTTAGTTGGTTCTGTGCCCTGGCCTGTGCTCAAGAACCACTGCCTTCTCTCTCCCCGAGATCAGATTCGTCTCAGTTGAGGCCATCATTTAAATTGGGAGTACACCCCCACCATTCTCCCAAATACTTGGAGAGAAGGCTGAGACAGCCGACCTGTGAATTCCGGTATGGGTGCACTCTGCTGACCTGACTCTATCTGTCCATGAGAAGATCAAAAAGTGCTTTCTTAGGAATGATCCTGCTACACTACAGCTGTACTGTACTGAATGTGCCTGATCCCAGAAGCTAAGCAGGGTTAGGTCTGCTTGGTAAATGGATGGGGAGACACAGTACAACTAAGACATGATTAAGTCCTTAGGTTTTTGTTGTTGTTTTATTTTTGTTTTGTTTTTTTGAGACAGGGTCTCGTGTATCCCGGGCTGTCCTCAAATACAGTATGCATCCAAAGATGACACTGAACTTCTGCTCTTCTGCCTCTACCTCCTGAGTTCCGGGATTACAGGACGCCCTAGAGAACTGCCCTTGTCCGGTCGGTCTCTCCCTCCTGCCCACTGTCCATGCCAGGTGCCAATGACTGTTCTCTCAGCTTTAGCCACTGTCGTCACTCATCGTGACCCTTCTAGGTGGGACTCTGTAGCTCCCAGAGTCCTGCCTCTCAACTCCCAAAGTCAACTTTCCCCCTGGAGTATGTGGAAGCACAAGACCACTGAGACAGTCCTGCCACACTGGCCCTGAGATGGAGAGGCCATGACAGGCTGGCCTGCCCGGGTCTCCTATGCTGGTTCCTATCAGGGACCAGGATGGTGTGACCCACAAGGAAAGAAACTGGCCTAGGAGGGTCTTCAAGGCTAGTTGTTCCAAACCTTGGCACAGCTTCTTCCAGTTCTCAAGAATTTGGTTTTGTTGTGTCAAATACTATTTGGTTGTGGTGTTAGTATTTTCTTCTCATTAAAATAACAAAAAACACTGGACCTGGTGGCCCACACCTTTAATCCCAGCACTTTGAAGGCAGAGAGGCAGAGGCAGGTGGATCTCTGTGAGTTCCAGGGCAGTCAGGGCTACATAATGAGGCTGTTTCACAACAACAACAACAACAATAATGATAATAACAATAACAATAATTTCTTTTTTACCATTTTGGAGCCTATAGAGGCCTGTGAGAGCAGAACTTCTGGATGGGAAATCCATCTGGAGGGCTCTGGGGTGAAGTCATTTTTGCTGGCTATTAATAGTGTCTCTGGAACCAAATGGAGCACATGCTCTTCTCTGTGTACATACATGCACATGTGTATATGTCTGTAGAGACCAGAGGAAATCCTCCAGGACAGTTCCTCAGGAGCCATCGCCTTGTTGAGGACCTCTCACTGACCTGAAGCTTCCTAAAGTGGCTGGCAGGGTGCCCCAGGGATCCACCTGTCTCCACCTCTCCAGTTCTGGATTATGAACGTGTGCCACTGTGCCCCACTTATTTTTCATACGGATGCTGGGAGTCAAACTCGGGTCCTCGGCTTTCAAGGCCAACACTTTACCCCACCCCACATGCTCTTCTTAAAACTGAAAGTGTTCGTGTGTGCATGTGTTCACAACGCAAAAAACAGCAAGGTGATTTGTGTCAGCAGATGGAACAAAGCCAGACGATCTGAAGAGCAGATGAGCCATACCCGTGGGAACAGTGTCATGGCTTCCACCACATTCCGAAGCACCCTTCCTGTTAAGGCCCCTGGACACGGGCTGCTCTGAACTCTACTCCTCCAGGACGTAGACCAGTTAAAAGTAAAGAAATAAAAGGGAGAATCTGAAAATGGGGAGAACAAATCCTCAAAAGGGTGACCTCTCCGCATCCTTGAAGTGTGTCTAACTTAGGTAGCTCTAAATCCCTGCTTGTATTTGGTTTCTGACCCTTATCTCTGCTTTACGGGAGGTGGATAAAAGTAGGCCTGCATCCCTTCCCCACTACTGCAGTGGCTGTGCTGACATCTGCAAAACTGAACCTCTGTCTGGGTGTCACAGTCTGATAATTAGCATGCCCCTCTGTTCATTCTTGCCACACCGCTGAGAATCCTATTGATTATTGAAACTAAACTAACTTCCTCCCAATCCATTGACACCACCGCATGTCATCAATTGGTGATATGACTTTTTCTTGGTTTTTGTTTCTATTTTTCTAGTATATTCTGGTATGTGAGAGCTGGGAGATGGAGCGGGGTTGCCATAGAATGCTGTTTTCTGTGTTTCCGTGGCTGGTGTCCACATGAATTCCCAGTAGCTGTGGCTATGCACGGAAGACCTACACAAGAGTCAGCCAGTTGATGACATTAATACCTAGGTAAATGTGATGTACAGGTAAACTAAAGACTGACTGAAATCAGTATCAATGAGTCGATATGCTGATTCCATCGAAACCGGGCATGCTGCTAAAACACTGTGCAGGAGAAAGACAAAGGTGTGTGGGGGATGCACAGTACACATACCACACGTACACACTCCTGCCATTTGTGTTTGCCATATACCCCAGTTCTGAGTTGTCTGAGGCTGAGAGTCATTTCCTTCGGATAGACTCTGTTGGCCTTTATGGGAGGGCATGCCGAATGTCAAAGGGCCAAAAGAGTTCCTGGAACGTTCTGTCGTGGCTTATCTAACATTCGCTGCCCACCCTCAGTGACTCAGTAGGGAGTTACTGGCAGAAGCTCTTAGGCACTCCTTTCTAGAACTGCTACGCTGTTCAGAGACTTGCCAATGATTTCCTTCCCACAAACAGAATGATCAATCAAGAGCCGTTTTCTGCAGAGAAAAGAAGAAATCTTACATCCTACCGAGGACAGATTCTGATGGATCCTCCTACAGTCTGTGGATAATGACTGTAAGAGCTTGCCACAAGTCCCAGCTGTCAACGTGGGGATGCGGTGTCAAAGACACGAGTGGATCAACCCAAAGGTGTCAGTCGGAGCAGTAAGATGGATAGCCTTTCTATATTTAGATGTTCTGACCACCAGGAAATGACCACGTCCTTCCTGCCTCTGTTCTCCCTTCAGAAACATCCAAGGGAACAGAGTCAAACAGAAAATTAACCTTTCTTGGCATGCACAGCCCCAATTCCCCATCACCACCAGGCCCCTGAGTTCACTACCCAGAGCCCACAGTGGAAGGAGAGAACTCACTCGTGAAAGTTGCTTTCTGACCTCTATACACATGCACACTTGTGCACACACACTCACAATCCTGCACATACATACAAGGCCACAATAAAATAAATATTAAAATAATTTAAAGTTGTATCTCCATGTTTCGTCTCACGTGGTAGCACCCGTTCATTACTGGTGAATAATGAGGTCTCACGCCTCTGGCTGTTACTATTTGCTAACGAAGGCTCATCT